TAATTCAATACGTCAGCTACAAATTGGCACTTGCCATAGGCGCTTGCCATCCACCTCTGCAAGAATTAAATCATGTGCTGCTACAGCTGCTGATTTTCAACAACCCCTGAAGGGAGTTCAAAGTGGAGAGGAGAAATGAGGCACTCTCTGTTGGGCTGCTGGAGGGTCTTCAGGGAGTTAGGTATGTTCAGAAGCTGATTTTATGAGCCTAAATCTTGTACCTCCTCATATCTAGAAAAGCACTAAAACCCTTCATGATGATGACTGCTCCTCATGACCAGCAGAAAGCTTCTGCAAAATATATGTGCTGTGATTGCACTGTGCATGTATTCCCCCTTTACCAAAATCACATATATACTAACCCTCCCCTGCCTCTCTGGAGCAGTTCCTCAGAGCTAACTGAAGTGCTGTCTGCAGGCTGCAGCCCTCATTTTGCTCCCCAATAAAATGTGACTTGCAACTCTCACATTGTGCAATATTTCAAGTCGACATAGAGCAAGATTAATCACCTAATAAGTGGCATAACGTGGAAGTTTTATAGGAGCCCAGAGAATGACTGACTCATTGCAGGCTGGAGAGGGTTGGGAAGGCTTTGTGGGGAAGTAGGGAACTGAGCTGGAGTAGAAGGTGGGTAGGATTCAGGCAGGCACCAGGGTATGTGTGCATGCTCAGTTGCTTAGTTGTGTCTGACTCTTTGCGAACTTTTGGACTGTAGCCTTAGAGGTTCCTCTGTCTATGGGATTTCCCAGGCAAGAATACTGGAGTGGGTAGCTATTATCCTTCGCCAGGGGATCTTCCTGACCCAGGGACCGAACTCTCATCTTCTGCACTGGCAGGTGGATTCTTAACTGCTGAGCCATCAGGAAGCCCAGGCATGGGGCAGAGAGGTCAAATCACAGGGCAGAGGCAGGGCTTGTAAGTCAGTTGCAATCAATCACAGAAGGGAAAGAACCTGGAGCAACCTATGGAGCTTCATGGGGGACAGGATAGGAAAAGTAACATAACCACAATGAGGTACCATTACACACCAGTCAGGATGGCTGCTATCCAAAAGTCTACAAGCAATAACTGCTGGAGAGGGTGTGGAGAAAAGGGAACCCTCTTACACTGTTGGTGGGAATGCAAATTAGTACAGCCACTATGGAAAACAGTGTGGAGATTTCTTAAAAAGCTGGAAATAGAACTGCCATATGACCCAGCAATCCCACTTCTGGGCATACACACCGAGGAAACCAGATCTGAAAGAGACACGTGCACCCCAATGTTCATCGCAGCACTGTTTATAATAGCCAGGACATGGAAGCAACCTAGATGCCCATCAGCAGATGAATGGATGAGGAAGCTGTGGTACATATACACCATGGAATATTACTCAGCCATTAAAAAGAATTCATTTGAATCAGTTCTAATGAGATGGATGAAACTGGAGCCCATTATACAGAGCGAAGTAAGCCAGAAAGATAAAGACCATTACAGTATACTAACACATATATATGGAATTTAGAAAGATGGTAACGATAACCTTATGTGCAAAACAGAAAAAGAGACTCCTATGTATAGAACAGACTTGTGGACTCTGGGAGAAGGCGAGGGTGGGATGTTTCAAGAGAACAGCATTGAAACACGTATATTATCTAGGGTGAAACAGATCACCAGCCCAGGTTGGGTGCATGAGACAAGTGCTCGGGCCTGGTGCACTGGGAAGACCCAGAGGGATCGGGTGGAGAGGGAGGTGGGAGGGGGGACCGGGATGGGGAATACATGTAAATCCATGGCTAATTCATTTCAATGTATGACAAAAACCACTGCAATGATGTAAGGTAATTAGCCTCCAACTAATAAAAATAAATGAAAAAAATAAAAATAAAAAATAAAAATAAAAATAAAAAAAATAAAACTCACAAAAATGCAAAAAAAAAAAAAAAAGAAAAGTAACATAATTACCAATGAACATGGGTAAATTGTATGCTTTCTGTGTCTAGCAGAAATTAAAAAATCACCTTTTAAAAATTATGTTGCCAGGGAATTCTCTGGCAGTCCAGTGGTTGGGACTTGGTGCTTTCACTGCCAATGTCACATGTTCCATCACTGGTGGGGGAACTAAGATCCTACAAGCTGTGCGGTGCTGCCAAAAAAAATTAAAGTAAATAAATAAATATGTATGCTGCAATGTAGTACTTATTGCTCCCAAACAAGTGTTGCAAGTATAAATACTTTCAGGAACCAGGGGAAACAAAAGTGACTCAGACCGAGCTTTAGACAGTAGGGAGTGGTGGCGAGGATTGCAGCAAACTTGGGAGGATTTGCTTTCTCTAAAAGGGGGGGTCACTCCTCAGCCCCAACCCGCTGTGGTCCCCAGTGACCACATGATCTTACATCCAATGGGCCCTTCCACGCCTCATCCATCTGACCTCCTGGACAGCTTTGGTCCAGCCAACCGCTGCTCCTTAGATGACTCTTCTCTTGTTTCTATGATGCCACAATTTCTGATTTCCTTCTACTTCTCTGGCCATTTCTTACTTACATCTTACATATGTCTCTACTGGCTTGACTGTTCCTTCTCGGTTCAACCTCTGCATGGAAATGTCAAGCCTCTTTCCCTCTGACTCTGCACTCACTCTTTCCTTAGACCATCCCATCTCCCTAGAGGCCAGTGACTTCCAAGTTTCTATTTCTCCTTCATCCTCCACAGCCAGCTCATCCCAGGCCCTGTGGCTTCTGCTTTACAGACGTATCTCACATATGTGCCTCTTTCTCCATCTCCACTGCCACCCCTCTAATCCAGGATGTTTCCAATGCCTGGACCACTGCTGTAGACGCCAGTCTGTTCAGGTGACTGCTGGACTGGGCCGGGGAAAGACGTGTTGGTGAGAGGTGCCCCCACCCCCATGATAACCTCTCTGTCCCCTTTTCCCTCTCCAGCCATAAGTTCACCACTCCCCAGTCCTCTCCCCTCGGTTCTGTTTACATCACCACCCACTCACATTCCTGTCTCAGCCCACTTTGCTTCAACTTTAGTTTTCAATATGGCGTTGAGAGTCTCTGGGGCTTTCAGCACGTCATTTACCCGCGCACTCACCCACCTGTAGCCTTGGTCACCTGCATTTCCTGGGAGAGGCCATCTCACCTATTTCCTCTCCTAGATTCCTCCTTGGAGGGGGAGGGGGGAGGGAAGACAGACCCAGGGAAGACTTCCACAGGCAAACCAGATACAGGAAAACCTTTTGCAGAACGAGTGGGCAGGGGTTGCCTTAAGACTCCCATAAGAGTTGCTTTTCTTTCGTTGGGTGTACATCTCAAGTAGATTTGGAGCTTACCTGTGACAGCGAAAGACCCCACTGTTAGAGGGTAAGGAAAACTAACTATCCCCACCCCTTACCACCCCAACTCCCCATGCGCTGGGTGGAATGGAATGCAAGAGGGAAATACTAATACTAATGATTAGAAAAAGCTCCCCAGGACCCAAAGAAGCTGCCCAGAAATTTGCTAAACAGGCTACCTGCTGCAACTCCGCAGTGAAAAATAAGGACCAAGAAGAGGCTCTGCTGATGCACCTGCTTTAAGGATGTGTCTGGATGAATCAGGAGTCACAGTTTGCTCCCATTGTCTCATCCACGTCTTCATGCAGGACGCCTGGCTCCGGGCTTCTCTCTTGAAGAAGCTGAGACGCAGCATCCTTGGCTGCCGCCCAGCGGCCCCATCTGTAATCTTCCTGCTCAACGTGGCTCACGATCTTCACAGCTGCAGCAAGAGGCAGGCTCAGGTTCAGGCTGCCCCAAGAAGCCAGCCCTGAAACTTGTGACTCAGCGGAGGAGGTGGTGGGTGGGACTCGTTACAGCCGGCAATGGTAACAACCAAGTGCTTTTGAGCAGAAGATGGGAAGCTCAGTCCGAGAACAAGCCTGGCAGTGAAATTTCCGTTTAATGAATTCACAGTAATTCCATTTGTGTCATCTTCCCTGTGGGTTTAGACAAGCAGATCCCCTTTTTCTTGCTTCCTACAATGCAGCCTGAACTAAGGTCTGGATTCCACAGCCAAGAGACCCCTCCTTCCCTATTTGGCCACCCACCCTCACCACTTCCCCCGCAACCCCCAGGCCCAAGCAATTATACAGGAGCATCCAGAGAGATGTGGGTGGAGATTTTCCTTTATTTGTTTTTTTTTTTAACTTCAGAGAGAAAGGGCTGGAGCAAAAAGCTGATGTCCAAAGCTCCAGGCCTCAGAATGAACCCTGAATGTGCAGGACCCTGATGGGTGTCACTGGATCTGGTGACTGACAAATGCACGCCATGGAGACAATATCCTCACAGCTGCAAAGCCCCCTTGCCCCTCCCCATTTTTCTTAATTTCAAAGCCCTCACCTGCACCCACCCAAAATAGCCTTGTCATTCCCTGGTAGTGGATCTCCTAGAAAATTGGGCTTTTACCCCTGTGGGCTCACAGCCCCATCCCCACCCCCAAAGAAACATGCATCGCCTAGATATAAAGGGAAATTGACACAGGATGCTCGAATCCAGAGAGCCCGCATGCTTTATTCTTCATCATCCTCCAGCTTGGGAGAAAGGCTGCCTTCCATCCTACCCATGAGAGAGAGGAAAGGGCGTTGAGGCTCTATCACCTCTCCCATCTCCCCAGGGCCCTGTGCCGTACCACTGCGCACACCCGAGCCCTGCCTGATCTTAAACAAATCTGGCCAGAAGCCTTCTACTTCTCCTCTTGGGAAAAAGACATTTGGGAGCTAGCAAGTGTAGTGAACACTTAAACCAGTCTTCCTGCTCAGTGTCTGTTCAACCCAAATGTCCATCCAGCTCTCGGAAGGAGATTCCTGATGCTTGGAGCCCCCAAACCTGGCGCCAAGCCTCCCCAGTGGTCTGTGACCACCGCTCCCCACCCTGCCTCCCTACAACCTCCCAGAGCAGTCTTGGGTTGCTCTCAGCATCTCTCCCCATGGTCTCCTGTGGAGTCCTGACGCGGAGGTGCCCAGGGTGGCGGGGGAAGCGTCAGGCGCCCTTGCTTTCTGTCCTCTCCTCATCAGCTGTCTGGGCATTGCTGATGGCGCGGAGCTGCCCCTGGGCCGCAGGCTTCACAGACAGGACCAGGCGTTTCCGGAACGTTTCACAGAGCACGATGTACACAAAGGGATTGAGGCAGCTGTTGGCATAGCCCAAGCTGATGGCTGCGTTGTACAGGTAGACAAAAGTGAGCGTCGGGCGGCTGAGGGATAGCTGGGTCAGCTGAAGCACGTAGTAGGGCGCCCAGCACACGAAGAAGACCAGGCAGATGGCGATGGCCGTGCGGGTCACCCTCTTTGTCCGCAGCCGGATGCTGCGTTGAGACACGGGGGCCACGGAGGATGTCATGCGCTGCAGGATCCTCACGTAGGCGGCCGTGATGACTACGAAGGGCAGGGCAAAGGCCAGGAAAAACTGGTACAGGGTGAACCAGTAGAGGTCAGTGTCTGGGTTGGGCAGGCGGATGCCGCAGCCCACGGTGCCCCCTGGGAAGGGGATCAGCCTGGCATAGAGCCACACGGGGGTGATACTGATGAAGGATAGGGCCCACAGGAGGCAGATCACCAGGGTGGCCACAGAGGGCTTCCGGAACTTGGTGGAGGAGATGGGGTGGACAGTGGCCAGGTAGCGGTCAATGGCCATGGCGGTCAGGATGTAGGTGCTGGTGAACTGACTGTTGGCGTCCATGGCCGTGATGAGGGTGCACATGGTCTCACCAAAGTGCCAGACCCCATTGCCCATGAGCTGGTGGATCATGAAGGGCATGCCCAGCAGGAAGAGGAGGTCCACCACCGAGAGGTTGATGATGAAGATGTCGGGGACATTGCTGAACCAGTGCAGCTTGGACTTCTTCACCACCGCGAAGATGACTGTGGAGTTCCCGACAATGCCCAGGAGGCAGATGGTACCGAACACTGAAGGCATGATGATGTTGATGTAGGAGATGCTCCCTGTGCGAGGAGGCAGCCCTGGGGACAGAAGGAGCAAGGGTCTACCATTTGACATGGACTCTGCTCTCCGAGGGCTGAACTCCTACTGGCATGCTCAGCCTCCAGCCACACACCTGCCCACCTCTCCATCCACCTGCCATATCAACTCAGGGCCCATCTTCTGGAATCTTCCCTGCCATCCTTCCCTGCCCACACGGCTGCTAAACCTAACCCCGTGCCCTCCTGCACCGGCTCCCTGCTCAATCCCACCAGAGTCTCCCGCACCACCTGTTCATTAAAGGACCAGTCCCTTTGCCACCTGCGTTTTCTCAAAAGGCACAGAGTCAAGAACCACAGCTGTCTGCAGAGAACGGTTCTGTGGGCCTTGGGGCTTCACCAGGAAACGTTATCGAAATAGCCAGCAGGACACGAACATGTGTGCATGTGTGGGCGCCAGCATGTGTTTCCTTGTTTCCTATTTGCAGCCCAGCTTATTTCATTTTAGGGGTCACTGGTTGGAAGCCATGTGCTGATTCCTGGGGATCTCTGTGTGTGACTGTCTCATGGAGGCTTTTGGCCATCAGGCCCACAGCCTTCCTCTCTTCTGGGTCCCTATCTTCTGCGCCTGGGCTTTCGGAGTGACTAGACTGAAGCTGTGTGCTGCAGCCCAGCCACCCGAGAATTTTCTCCATGCAAACCTTTCCTCTGTTTTCTTCCTTCTCTTCCCCTTCGAAGCTAGAATTCCAGGGCATCTCAGTGCTAGAAATGTCAGGAAGCATCTTTCACCAGCAAAGTTAATCCCCTCGCATCTCTGGGAGTTATTCCTTCCCACGCCTCTTTGGGGAGGAGGCAGTAAGGATGTTTCAAACCCCACCAGATCACGTAGTTCAAGTGAAAAAAACCAAGGGGATCGGTGAATGAGTGAGCTTCCAGCCATCTCCCTACATAACAGCCCTCCAGTTTCTCTTGCTTTTCTAGCCTGGAATTTTTCCGGCAAAGCATCTTTGGAACTCCTCAGCAGCCCTCCCCTGCCTCCCTCGCGGCTGGCCACCATGCGAGGACACTTCCTAGCATGCCTCTGCCCCTGCCCCTTCCTCCCCGTAGTCCCCTCCCCTGCCCCTCCGGGAGGGCAGACTGCCCATCTCATTCCCAAGAACTGGCATAAAGTTTCGCAAGCAGTTTAGCTCGGAGGTGAAACCTTCCCGTTTCCCACCCTCGGAGGCACAGAGGGAAGACCGCCCTCCAGCTCGTCTCACCGGCCACGGTGAGGTTATCCGGGCTCTCCGAGGTGTTGCTGGCATTGGGGCCGGTGGGCAGCAGCGAGGCTTCCAGGTCCATCCCGCCGCGCCGCGGGTGCCAGCTCGCCCGTCCGCCCACGCAGGCTGCCGCAGCCTCCCGCGCCAGTCCCGAGCCCGGGCCCCCGGAGCCCCGCAGTCCGGAAGAGGGGTCTTCCTCGGGCCGCCCGGCAGTCTCCGCCGCCTGCGATCCCCGCCGCTCTCCCCACCCTCCTTCCCCGGCTCCCACTGACATCACCTAGACACATTAACATTCGGAGGCAGATGCGCGTTAACCTCTTCGGTCCTGCGCCGCAGCTCCGGCTTCCGACTGCCTGCAGAACCCGGCCGGCAGGTCAGCCCCATCGGGGACCGGGCCTCCTTCACTCCTTCCCTTGGGGCCGTGTCTCCTGTGCCACCAGGGGTGCTGCTGGCTGCCCGCGAGCCTCCAGTCTCTCCGGAGGCAATGGGCTGCCTCCCTGTGGAGGAAGGGAGCCTGGCCCGGCCCCTCACCCCCGGTAGCCTGGACCTGGGCCGCGGGGCAGGGGCTGGGGTGGCTGTGCTGGGAGCTTGGGGAGGGAAGGCTTGGACCACTGGCATGCCCACCTCCAGGCCACCCAAGGTCCCTTCCCAGCACCCCATGGATTCCAAGCTGTGGCCGTTTGGCTGGCGCTCAGAGGTGACTCAGGTCACCCTGAGCTGGTGATGCCCAGGGACTTGGGACCAGAAGAGGACAAACTCCCTTCTTCCCTGGGATCAGCAGGGACCCGGCTTATAGAGGTTTTAGTTTTCTAAATGCTGTGATGTCCTTGAGGGTTTACCTGGAACTCCTTGAAACAAATTTCAGAGCAGGGACCCCCAAAGAGATCCTTGTTCAATCACTTCATTCATGTCCAACTCTTTGCGACCCCATGGACTGTAGCCCACCAGGCTCTTCTATCCATGGGATGCTCCAGGCAAGAATACTGGAGTGGGTTGCCATGCTCTCCTCCAGCGGATCTTCCCCACCCAGGGATCGAACCCGAGTCTCCTGCAGCTCCTGCATTGCAGGCAGATTCTTTACCACTGAGCCACTTGGGAATCCCAAGAGACATCCTTAGGAACAGCCTAAGAGGGCAAAGCATTGGGTGAATTCTCTGCAGAGGCATCCTGCTGCCAGGTTCTCATTCGGCAGATCAGGCCGGGAGGGGCCTGAGACTCTGCATTTCAGACAGGTTCCCAGGAGATGCTAAACCAGGTACAACACTTGGAAGAGCAGTTTGTGAAGGACTTTCATTTTCAAAGCTGCCATAATGTTCAAATTCCTTTTTTTATTTTTTTATTTTTCAAATTCCTTTTTTTAAAAGCATGCTTTGCTTTGTGCTGGAAAATAATAACAGTTATCAAGATATTTTTAAAAGGTTCTCAAAACCACCTGCTTGAGACAGTTACTGACAAAGCAGAAGTTCAGAGTAGAAAGGGCAGTCTCTGGCTAGGCCACCAAGAGGAGGGCAAGGCCACCCAGCCATCAGCTCACCTCCTCCCTGATGAAACTCTTGGCTCTGGTGCAAAACAAAGAAGAAACAACATTTAAGTAAACATTGTATGCATGTCGATGCTCAATCATGTCCAACTCTTTTGCGACCCCATGGACTGTAGCCCACCAGGCTTCTCTGTCCATGGGATACTCCAGGCAAGAATACTGGAGTGAGTTGCCATTTCCTTTCCCAGGGGATCTTCCTGACCCAGGGATGGAACCCATGTCTCCTGCATTGGCAGGTGGATTCTTGGCTACTGAGCCACCAGAGAAGCCCCAAAGGGAGAGTAGCAGGTGGAAACTGCAGAAGGGGAAATTCTGTCAGGCCTCAGTCATCGTCCTGGGACAAGGACTTATGTGTACCTAGCCTTTCCAAGTGATGACACAAGGAGCAGTCATGAGGAAGTGAAGACAACGAGATAGGAAACAAAGCCCAGAGAAGGCGCTTTGTCACCATCACTGCTGTGGACAAGGGGAGCTTGCATTTACCAGGATCCTTGAAAAGTGCACAGACTGTTTCCCAGAACCGTCTGCCTTTCCCCAGGTGCCTCAACCCCCAGTGGTGGAGTGTTGCCACTGGGGTGTTAACAATGCACTCCTGGGTGCACGGGAGGAGCAGACTCCTGCTGCATCAGATGCGGCAGAAAGCGAAAAGATGTGCAGCTCACATTTGAGGCGAGAGGCTGTCAGTGCAAGGTGAATCTCGTGCGGGAGCCAAGAGGCTTCTGGGTGAAAAGTAAACAGACACGAGGTGCATGCTGGAGGCGAGACACATCGGCTCCAGACCAATTGAGCCCGCACACACCTGTCTGCTGCAGCTGGAGCTGGAGTCAGCGGTGACCGAGGGAGATGTGACACGGGTGGACAGACACACCCAATACGGAAAGACTATTGCAGGGCTTCCCTGGGGCTCTTCCCTGGGGTAAAGAATCCACCTGCCAATGCAGGAGACACAGGTTCAATCCCTAATCCAGGAAGATCCCACATGTTGTGTGCTGTGGGGCAGCTGAGCCCGTGCACCACAACTACTGAAGCCCTCACACCCTAGAACCCGTGATCCGCAAGAAGAGAAGCCTCTACAATGAGAAGCCTGCGCAGCGCAAAGAAGAGTAGCCCCCACTTGCCGCAACCAGAGAAAAGCCTGAGCAGCAATGAAGATCCAGCACAGCTAAAAATAAATAAACAAATGAAAAAAAAAATTTTTTTAAAAAGACTACTGCAATAATCCAATTGAAATAGGATGGTATCTTAGATTGGGGAGGTGGGAGTCAGGAGAAATGGTGTCTGTACATTATGTAGCGCCCCGAGGGTTTGCTGAAGTTTGAACCAGAAACATACAGGAGAAAGAAGTATCAGGGATGACTCCAAATGCTTGGCAGAGGGGAGATCGGGGAAGCTGTAAGAGGAGATGATTTGGAGGAGAAACGAAGTGTTCTGTTTGGATATGTTACATTTGAGATGTCTGTTAACATCTGCATGAAAAGGTTGGGTAGTTTTGGATGTGAGTCAGAAGTTCCAGGGAGAGGTCACGCCTGGAGCTCTGAAGTTAAATTGATGACACTGAAGGAGCTTACCTAAAGTGAGGGTGACTGGAAAAGAGATTCGAGGACTCAGCCCTGGAGCATTTCAGTTTACAGGTTGGGGAAATGAGCCTTATAGCCTACTGTTTCCGCCTCCTTCACCTGCCATAGTCTTCCCACCTCCATCCACCCATCCATCCACCCTTTCATCCAGCAGATCTGGATGAAATCTGATTGAGCCTCTGTTATACCAGGTACTGTGTTAGGCTCTGTGGATGCAGTAGAGGGAAAAAAAAAACAAAACGAGTGACTTTTAACCAGGAGCTTCAGTGACAGAGTTGGGAGAGACAGATAAGAATAAGTCAGAATAATAAGTCAGACAACAAGAGGAGGCCATGGCAACCCACTCCAGTATTCCTGCCTGGAAATCCCATGGACAGAAGAGCCTGATGGGCTACAGTTCATAGGATCTCACAGAGTCAGACATGACTGAAGCGACTTAGCATGCATATACAAGCCAATAAGTAAACAAGATAGCCTCCTCAAGGCTTCAATCCAGACGAGTTCTGGTAACTTAATCATGAAGGGATTTAAGTGTTTATGAAAGAACAGCTATGGAATCATGCCAGGGAAAATGTCTCTGCCTGACTGGAGACATTTAAACCATGACCGAGCAGCCAGGGGACCTGGAACAGGAGGCTTTAGCTTCCTGACCTGTCATGTTGGGGGTGGGGTGGAGTGGAGGGGGTGAACACTGAGTCAGTCAATCCACAATGACAGATGACTTGTGTGGTAGGGGAAGAATGGGATGATGGGAGTGACTGGGGTCCTTTAGAGAGGAGAGTCAAAGATGTCCTCTTTAAGGAAGCATTCAGGTAGAAACTTCAGCATCCATTCCATTACAAATGACCAATTTAAAGTGTATCTCCTTTCTGCTAGTGACTGAGAGCTGAGCATCTCTCCTGGATAGCCACCTCTTCAAATCCTCTCGGCCACATCTAATTTTTATTCCATCCATTGCTACAATGGCCCTGCTCTGCAGTCTCTGACCAGTTTCAGGTACAGGTGTGGGTAAGACCTGACCGTTCTGTGTTCCAGGCCCCCACCATGTACTGTCTACCCTCTATCCCAATCCTCTCTGTGGCTGTCACAACTTAGACTAGGGGACCCCAGGGAATGCCCATGCTGGAGTGACCTGGAAATACAGGGAGAGTTCACTCCTTAGGTGAACCCTTGACCAATGTGGTGTGGAAGCTGTGGAAAGATGCTTTTCCTGTTTCCCCCTTTGCCTGAGACACATTTCATACGGTCTCTCAGGGATCCCATGGAACATAGCGTCTGGTCACTTGTAGTGGTGGACGAGCCCATGTGTGCCTGTGTGCGTGCTGAGATGCTTCAGTCGTGTCCAGCTGTTTGCAGTCCTGTGGACTGTAACCCACCAAGCTCCTCTGTCCTGGGGATTCTCCAGGCAAAAGTACTGGAGTGGGTTGCCATGCCCTCCTCCAGGGGATCTTCCCGACCCAGGGATCAAACCTGCATCTCTTATGTCTCCCGCATTGGCAGGCGGGTTCTTCACCACTAGCGCCACCTGGGAAGCCCAGATGAACTGCTCATCATCTCCTGAGAAGGGAAATTTTGGCCTACTTTGCTCCAAGCTATCTGACTCATGACCTGCCCTGCCCAGCACAGTCATGAGTTAGATCAAGTTGAAGTATAGCAAAAAACCCTTTCTCTCCCATCCATGTGACCCCACTCAGGGTACCCCATATCTCCCAGACTCCCCCCATGGTGACACCCACCTGCCGTCCTTTTCAGAACTTGACTACCGTCTGTCTGCATGTGTTGAAGTCTTACTGGGGTCACGGCATCAATTCTCACTTGCTCCCCTCTCTCCTGCCTCACCCCTTCCACTCCACTCCCACCGAACAGCAGTAGTTTTGTTAAGATAGACATTTCCAGGGGACTCACCTGGTAGTCCATTGGTTAGGACTTGGTGCTTTCACTGCCTGGGCCCAGATTTGATCCCTGGTGGAGGAACTAAGATCCCACAAGTCATGTGGCACAGCCAAAAGAAAAGAAATTTCATTACCCTACACTGTTGAAAACACTTCAGTGGCTCCCAGTTGCTTTCAAAATAAAGTCACCCTCCCTAATGGAATGTAATGGACATGACACTCTTTGGTACCCAGAGGTTGATCTCCCAGAAAACCACATCCTTGA